TGTCAATCCTACCAAGACAGAAATGGTACTCTTCACAAGGAAATATCTTCTTCTTCTTCTTAATTGGCGCTGTAACCGCCTAAGCGATTTTGGCCGAGTCCAAAACAGTACGCCAGTCATTTCTCTTCTGTGCTAACTGACGCCAATTGGAAATGCCAAGTGAAGTCAAGTCCTTCTCCACCTGGCCTTTCCAACGCAGAGGAGACCTTCCTCTTCCTCTGTTACCAGCATCGCGGCCCGCGTTGAATACATTCAGAGCAGGAGCGTTTCTGTCCATCCGAACGACATGGCCAAGCCAGCGGAGCCGCTGAATTTTAATTCGCTGCACTATGTCTATATCGTTGTAAAGCTCATACAGCTCATCGATAAATCGTCTGCGATATTCGCCATCATCAACGCGTAAAGGTCCGTAAATCTTTCGCAGAATCTTTCTCTCGAAAACTCCAAGAGCCGCCTCATCAGATGTTTTCATTGTCCATGCTTCCGCGCCATACACCAGCACAGGCATGATGAGTGACTTATAGAGTGTGATCTTTGTACGACGAGAGAGGACTTTACTTCTCAATTGCCTACTCAGCCCAAAGTAGCACTTGTTGGCAAGAGTGATTCTCCGTTGGCTTTCAAGGCTGACATTATTATTGGTGTTAATGCTGGTTCCCAAATAAACGAAGTCGTCTACTTTTTCAAACTTGTAACTGTCAACAGTGACGTGGGTGCCAAGACGCGTATGCTCTGACTGTTTGTGTGATGACAGGAGATACTTCGTTTTGTCCTCGTTCACCACCAGACCCATTCGCTTTGCTTCTCTATCCAATCCCGAGAAGGCAGAACAGACGTAGCCCTTGCTTTTACCGATAATATCGATGTCGTCGGCATACGCCAGCAATTGTACGCTCTTATAAAGTATTGTGCCTGAGCGGTTCAGTTCTGCGGCTCTTATTATCTTCTCCAACATAAGATTAAAGAAATCACACGAAAGGGGGTCCCCTTTTCTGAAACCTCGTTTGGTATCAAACGGCTCGGAGAGGTCCTTCCCTATTCTGACGGAGCTGGTGGTATTGCTCAACGTCATTTTACACAGCCGTATTAGTTTCGCGGGGATACCAAATTCAGACATCGCGGCATAAAGGCAACTTCTCTTCGTGCTGTTGAAAGCGGCTTTGAAATCGACAAATAGATGGTGTGTGTCGATCCTATTCTCGCGGGTCTTTTCCAAGATTTGGCGTATTGTGAATACCTGATCTATGGTGGATTTTCCAGGCCTAAAGCCACACTAATAAGGTCCAATCAGCTCGTTGACGGTGAGCTTCAGTCTTTCGCACAATACGCTCGATAAGACCTTGTAACCTATGCTTAGAAGGCTAATTCCGCGGTAGTTGGCGCGTATGGCGGGGTCGCCTTTCTTGTGGATTGGGCAGAGCACACTTAAATTCCAGTCGTCGGGCATGCGTTCATCTGACCATATTCTGCATACGAGCTGATGCATGCACCTCATCAGCTCCTCGCCGCCGTACTTGAATAGCTCGGCTGGCAGGCCGTCAGCTCCAGCAGCTTTGTTGTTTTTCAGCCGCGTAATCGCTATTCGTACCTCGTCATAGTCAGGCGGTGGGACAGCTACTCCATCATCATCGACTGGGGACTCGGGTTCGTCTTCCTCACTACTTTCAGCGCTGCTACCATTCAGTAGGTTATAAAAGTGTTCCCTCCACAATTTAAGTATATTCTGGACATCGGTCACTAGGTCGCCATTGTTGTTCTTACAGGAGTTCGCCCCGGTCTTGAAACCTTCCGTAAGTCGCCTAACCCTCTGGTAGAATTTTCGGGCGTTCTTCCTGTCGGCCAGCATCTCAAGCTCTTCGCACTCACGTATTTCGGCCTCTCTCTTCAGTTCCCTATAACGGTCCCACATGGCTCGCGTTGCGCCCAGGCGGCATCTTTTTTCTCTGCGGCTTCTTGACATTCCTCATCGTACCAGTTGTTCTTTCGGGCTCGCTGAAATCCAACTACTTCTTCGGCGGCGGTACTTAATGATCGAGAAATGTGGTTCCACTGCTCGCGTACGTCGGATTGTTGAAGAGTGCTCTCAGAGAGCAGGTGTGTGAGTCGAGTGGCGAATCAATTGGCCGTCTGTTGTGATTGCAGCTTTTCGACGTTAAGCTTTCCTTGCATTGTTGGGCGCACATTTTTTGCTGCACAGAGGCGGGTGCGTATCTTGGCTACAACAAGATAGTGGTCCGAGTCGATGTTTGGCCCTCGGAGTGTACGTACGTCCAAAACGCTTGAAGCATGCCTTCCGTCTATCACAACATGATCGATTTGGTTTCTCGTTTTTCGATCTGGAGACAGCCATGTAGCTTGGTGGATGTTCTTATGCTGGAACCTAGTACTATATATTACCATATTTCGTGCCCCGGCGAAGTCGATCAGCCTCAGTCCGTTATCGGACGTTTCGTCGTGGAGGCTGAATTTTCCGACAGTGGCGCCAAAGATCCCTTCCTTGCCCACCTTGGCATTAAAATCGTCAAGCACGATTTTGACATCGTGTCGGGGGCAGCGCTCATATGTACGTTCCAAGCGCTCATAGAAGAGATCCTTGGACGCCTCATCCTTCTCTTCCGTCGGGGCATGGGCGCAGATGAGCGAGATGTTGAAGAATCTAGCTTTGATGCGGATTGTGGCTAGACGTTCGTCCACCGGGGTGAACGCCAGTACTCGGCGACGGAGTCTCTCTCCTACCACGAATCCAACACCGAATTTGCGCTCCTTTACGTGGCAACTGTAGTAGACGTCGCAAGGCTTCACGCTTACTTTACCTTGCCCCGTCCATCGCATTTCTTGGATGGCGGTGATGTCAGCCTTTGTCTTCCCGAGGACATCAACCAGCCGGGCAGAGGCACCTTCACCATTAAGGGTCCGGATATTCCAGGTGCATACCCTTAAATCATAGTCCTTTATACGTTTGCCGTGGTCGTCATCAGAAAAAGGGGGTCTCATCCGAGGCTTGTTGGAATTTTTCATTGGGCGGGGTTTTAACGTGGCGGGACCCAAACCCAGCGCACGCGAAGTTTTACGCCTTCTCACTTTAGCTCGCTCACAAACGGGTGTTTGGTTGCTACCCAGAGGATACGTGGATATAAATATCCGGACGTTGTGAGCTGCGATTTGAACCGTACGCACAAGAATCGCTTCTGGCCACTCCCAGGTGGATGGCAGTCAAAAGTTTTCCACTTCAGCGCACGGAACCATCCTGTACGATACTAGTTAAGTTAAATAGATTGTCAATAGTTTAGTAGCCTTTGCGAAAGCCAGCTTGAAACTAGTTACTGATCCTGTTATGGTCGAACCAGACGTTGATGCGACTCAGCAACAACCCAGTAATAATTGTATACAGCGTGTCCAGCAGGGAGAGGCCTCTATAGTTGGAAATAATAGAAACTCTGCCATAGACGGTCCCAAGCCCGGTTTGAGAAAAGAGGAGGGGTGGCACAACGGGCAGCTTGAGGTTGACGGGAAGAATTCCCTCGGTGAAACCCGTTTGTACCCGTTCCCAAACTAAGGTAATTGAAAGCGTGCCGATGGTTGAATGGTGTTGGGAACTGAAACATGGGCATCGCAAGCGCATTTCCTTTATGATACCGGGCGCCCTCACATCGTAACCAGCCTTACCATCACAAGGGAGCACTGGGGTGGCGGACCGACACCTTCTTCCCGTTTCAAAAAAACTTTATGGATGAAATTATAATTGAAAATAAAAACAACATCACGGAGTCAGAGGAACTTTCTCTACTCCGTTCACCGACTAGGTCTGAGAATGAGCTTCAGCAGAGACTTAATGCCTCACTCAGGTTAAACTCACCTGGTTCTACCACCACTTCTGCGCCAGGTGATCAGGGACTCGATAGCCAGGATCCTGGCACTCAGACTTCTACGAACACTAGTGCTGAAGGAACAGCAGAAAACCGGAAGAAGTTCGAGTACTTCACCGGAGCCCAGAAGCGTAGAATACGTGCTTTGATCAGGGACGGCATTGAACCTACCAAAGCGAAGGAGATGGAGAGAGAGCGCTACAAGAAGGTCAAGGAGCTAAGGGCAAACGACGCGACAAAAGAGGGACCTAGCTCCTCGAAGCGAAGCAGAGAAACCAGCTACTCGCCCAACGACCTTCGGCAGTCAGCCAAGAAGGCTAAGACCTCCCATACAACCACTTCTCCAGTGGAAGCGGTTACGAATCCAAGTGTTCAGGACAATGAACTCGACATGCCTAAGCAGGTGTCCTACAGAGACATCACGGCGGCATGCAAGGTAGCCATTACTAATGCCAAACACCCGGATGCTAAGCTAATCGAGGAGGAAATCTCGCTGATAAAAAGAAGTCTGCTGGCAGAGATGGACAAAGCCAAAAACCTCACCGCGAGTCTTGGCTTCATCAGCAGTGTGGTACGCGACGGTTGGCATTCGCTCACTTGCCACAACAAGGAGACAAGAGATTGGCTCGTTGCTGTCACAGCTGGGCTAAAGCCGATCCCAGACGCAGATCTGAAGGTGTCACAGGGCAATGACATTCACAAGACCTTTATCTGCGTTGCTTACGTGCCACCTGATGACGTATTACCGGCGGACCATCTTATGAAGCCCCTAGCCACACAAAACGTGGGCATAAACTTTGCGGGTTGGCGCTTTCTTAAGTCTCTCAAGGATGATACAGGGGGAGAGACGGTAACTTTCTCCGTGGACGAGAAGTCAAAGGAGAGGATTGCGGCAGAGGGTGGAAAAATCTTCCTCAACTTTGGCCAGATCTCCCTACGCATAAAGGGGGACAAGGCGACAGCAAGTCACCTATCGCACAGAGACAGCCAAGGAGCAGCAGCCTAGGCATCTCGCAAGACCCACTGCATGGAAGTCCACGGTGCTCCGTCTCGGGAACGTGCGGAACAGGTCAGGCTAGGCGATAGCGCTTGATCAGGCTGGCGTCAGTGGCGAGAGCGCGAAACCTCCCGCAGTCTCCTCTACCCTGGAGGTGTCTCAGCCACCAAAAGTAGGCAAAGGCAACACCACCCATTCCCGCTCTACTAAATTGGCGTCGACACGTACACCCAAGGCAGGTTAAGGTATCATTTCCCATGCACGCCCAACCAACACTGGCAAGGGTCAACACTCGACTCGCCGCTTACATGGGACGAAGCTCCCGAAGCCGGACGCCTCGAAAAATTAATATGGTAGTAAGATGCATCCAAATAAACTTACAACATGTCAAGGCGGCTTCAGCGGTTCTGGCACAGACGTTTTATGAGGATCACTTTGACATCGCCTTTATCCCGGAGCCGTACATTTATGGGAACCAGATAAAGGAACTACCAGGTAAGCTATTCTATGACTCCTTCAACGAAGGACGATCTAGAGCCTGCCTGATAAGAGCTAATCATATCAATGCCTTTCTCATTCCAGAATTTACCAATAAGGACCAGATTGCAGTGAAGGTGAGCCTATCTCTCGGAGTAAATACGCAAGAGCTAATCATTTGCTCAGCGTACCTCCCCGGCAACTCCAGAGATTACGAGTTTCTGCCACTACAGGGACTAGTGGACTATTGTGGCAGACAGAAACTGCAACTCATCGTGGGATGTGACGCTAACGCCCACAATACCATATGGAGCAGCAGTAACATAAATCAAAGATGTGAGTACTTACTTAAATTTATTAGCCTTAATAGGTTAGAAATTTTAAACGTAAGTAACTCCCCCACTTTCAGGAACAGTATACGGGAAGAGGGTCGGCCGCTGTGGTGTAGTGGTAAGCAGTGCGCGCTTCCACTCCGCAGCACCTGGGTTCAAACCCTGGTCAAAGCAACATCGCAAAAAAATATAGAAAAAAGTTTTTTTCTTAACAGCGGTCGTCCCTCGGCAGGCAATGGCAAACCTCCGAGTGTTTTTCTGCCATGAAAAACAGCTTCTCATAAAAATACAATCGCCGTTCGGAGTCGGCGTAAAACTGTAGGCCCCTCCGCTTTGTGTGACAACATCAAGGCGCACGCCACAATTCGGAGGAGAAGCTCGGCCAAACACTAACTAATGTGTAAGCGCCAATTTATTATTATTATTATACGGGAAGAGGTTCTAGATCTCACTCTATCCACTCCTTTTATCAGTAATTTCGTCAAAAAACGGAAAGTGGCCAGAGAAATTTCTTTATCAGATCACATGCACACCCGTTTTGAAATTGAAATCACATTACCAACTGTTACCACCTACAGAAGACCAGGAACCACCGATTGGAATCTATACGATGCTCTTCTGCAGGGCGGTCTGAAAAGGTGCAAGCGAAAGGTAAATGACTTAATCTATCTTGAACTTAGCTGCTCAGATCTGACATCAGCCATTGAGAATTCCTACCATGAATCCTGTCCAGAAGTCACTAGGCTTAACAACAGACAGACTCCATGCTGGAATAACAAATTGGCCAAGCTTAGGGCAAATACCCGGAAGCTCTTTAACAGAGCTAAACGAACTGAATGAATGAATGGGAAACGTATAAAACTGCCCTCACCGAGTACAATAAAGAGATGCAATGACAGAAAGTGACGGTCCGCTACATCCCAAAGGTGGGGTGAAAACCAGCAGACCATCCAAAGTCATACCGACCCATTAGTCTTACGTCCTTCCTACTAAAAACAATGGAAAGAATCGTAGACAGGCATATCAGGGATAGTTTCCTTGCCAGGAACCTTTTGAACAGACACGAATATGCCCATCTTCCAGATCTACCATCCACGCTCTTCAGAATCTAACAAGGAAAATTGAAAAGTCCCTGGAGGACAAAGAGGTGGCGGTGGGTTGTTTCTTGGATGTGGAGGGCGCTTTCGACAACACAGAACACTGTCTAACAGACAAATGCGTCCGGCGCAGAGGGGTTGATCAAACCACATGTCACTGGATAGCTAACGGTCTTAAATTTAGAATTATTACATCCACGCTAGGACAGGAAAGGGTCAGTTTCGTAGCTACGAAAGGTTGCCCGCAGAGAGGAGTGATCTCCCCTCTGCTATGGTCCATCGTAGTGGATTAACTACTCTGCCTTCTTAGCGAAAAAGGCTTCGACGTTCAGGGATATGCGGATGACATTGTCATCCTAATCAGGGGTAGGTTCGAAGATACCATCTCTAACCTCCTACAGAATGCTCTGAACATAGTTGCCAATTGGTGTAGTAAAAATGGGTTAAACGTTAACCCAAAGAAGACTAGCATAGTCATTTTCTCCAGGAAAAGGAACAAATTAGTAGAACCATTCCTTCGAGGTGAAAAGATACACTTCTACAAAGAAGTCAAATATCTAGGAGTCATCCTTGATGACAAGCTCTCATGGAATCCACATCTAGATAAAACTATTCAAAAGACCAGGGCCTCTATCTGGACCTGCCGGAAATTTATGGGACGGAACTGGGGCATCAGACCTAAACTGGCGAGGTGGATGTGTGATGCCATCTCCAAACCCATTCTTACCTATGCTGAACCCGTCTGGTGGAAGAAGGTGGAAGTGAAGTCCACGCAGGTCAAGCTCAGCAAACTACAGAGACTGGCCTGCGTGGTTATCACTGGCGCGATGAGAACAACACCAATGGCGGCTCTCGAGGGGCTTCTTGACCTGCCTCCCCTACATATATTAATCAAGAAAGAGGCTCTGCGGTTTACAGCAAGGCTCATCTCAGGGGACAGTGTAGAGGACAAGAAGTATGTACACCCCTCCACTCTCAGGATTATAGAACAAGAAGATGGATTGCGCATAAGTTTTGTGGACCTGTGCCTACCGAGGTTTAACTTCTCACATAAGTTCAAGGTCTTTTTCCCTGACAGGAATAACTGGAACAACGAACGACCTAAACCCCGGAAGGACAGCCACATCTGGTATACTGACGGCTCCAAAGACTGACCACGGCGTCGGAGCAGGAGTCTACGGTATAAAACCCAGACTGCTCCGTTTCACCAGCAAGGGGCAGGGTAACTCTGTATTTCAGGCCGAGGTTCACGCCATTGGTCTTTGTCTGAGGCAGTATGTAGAATGTGGGGCAACCAAAAAATACATCTATATACACTCGAACAGCAGAGCGGCGCTCCTCGCTCTGAAAGCGCACGAGGTCACCTCAAAGCTGGTGTGGGATTGTCTTCAACTTTTAATACTGATCGCCTCAAGGAACCTCATATGGGTACCGGGACACCGTGGAGTCATGGGCAATGAAGTGGCAGATATTCTCGCCAGGAAAGTGGCTGCACAGGGATTCATAGGCCCAGGACCCTTTACCGGCCTGCCATGGAGCTCCGTTATACGGAACTACTATTTATATCTGGATGAAGAACGAAGCACAACATTACTGGAACAATACGGAACGTAACAGACAGACCAAGTCCTTCATTCCGGTTATATCAACAAGGAGAACCAAAGAACTCCTTCACCTCAGTAGGCATGAAGTAAGAATTGTTACAGGCTTTCTTACTGGCCACTGTAGGGCAATGAAACACTTGTCAAATATAGGAGTTGTCAACTCTGACCAGTGCAGGTTGTGTAACGAAGAACAGGAAACAGCAGAGCACATTATGTGCCACTGTGAAGCCCTTACCAGGACCAGACTTCGCCTCCTAGGATCACCGTACCTAGAAGCACACGACCTAAATGGCATTCAGCCAAAGGACCTCGCGAGGTTTCTTAACAGTGCGTGGATCAAAGATGACCTGTAGTTGAATAGAGGTTTGTTACAATAGATCGTTTCGGTCGCGGTAACTAGGTGACCTGCTCCCTTCTCTAAATCTAATATAATCTAATCTAAATAATAGAGGAATCGCCGTTCTTGAAAAGAGTAATAAGTACCGCCTTGCCGAAGGAAGGAGGAATTTCTGGCTTGAGAAAAATAGAATTTGTAGAATTCGTAGCTGACGCGATCTAAACCAGGGGCTTTATTATTCTTGGTACCCTTAAGGACCCGTCGTAGCTCACGCGTTTCCAATGGGGCATTTAGAAGCGGATCAGTTATGGGAGGCATAGCCGAGTGAATACAGAGTTCACTATTGGAGTTGAACAAAAGGTTACTGAAAAGGCTATAAAAGTCCGACAGGGATAAGCCCGTAGTAACACTAGACGGATACTTTTTCAACGAGTTAGAAAGCCGCCACCAATCATTACTATTTCTAACTGTGTTAAGGAGGTCGATATTTTTATTCCAATTTTCCAGTTTTTTTTTGTTGCAAAGCTTTAAGTAATTTGTACGATAAGAACCGTATTTAATTCTTAGTTCGTCGGTAGTGAATTTTCTAAAAAGATTAAGATATTTTAGCATTTTCGCAAGCGCGTTTTGACATTGACAGTCAAACCAAGCACTTTTAGAAGCGAAAAACGGTTTCTTCGCGCCAACATTTCCCGCTGATTCTATCTTCTGTATGAAAAACGAAATTTTTACATCGATGGTTGCCTTTAAAATGTTTTCAGTTTTATAGTCATACTTAATAGAAGCAATAAGACGATCGCAGTAAGACTTCTGGTACTTTGGTTTCCAGATTAGCTTAGGTGGGAAGCTATTTTGTGTATGCAAGAGCTCAATACCAACAATAAGGGCATGTGATCAGGGAAAGCTTTATTTTAATATTAAAAGGTTTTATACAAGCTAGAAAGTCAAACGAACAGATCGCATAATCAATCACTGAACTGCCTGTTGCACCAACAAACGTGAAATCGCCCATAAAATCGAAAGAAATTCTGCCATTTAGAATTACTCCACCTATATCATCAATTAGACTAAGCAATTATCTACCCTTGCGGTCCACAAAAGTGTCTTTAGAACTTCTACGCTCGTCAATACCCGGCAAGCCCATAAGAAGATGCTTATCTATTATTTGGCAATCACCTAAACGCGCATTAAGATCACCCACAATGCAAAACGAGGACGGGTTCAACGAGTCTATAAACTCCTGAAAAGTTTGAATTCTTCGTTTCACTTTGTACAGTTATATACTGGGGTATAAACTAAAAATCAACTTCACCGAGTCTGGCTAACAGAACAACATAACCGAATATAGTCAAAAACTTGAGATTATAAACACCTTGAATAGAATTCCTGAAGCCAAATAAATAACCTGCACTGGCACGGCAAGCTTTGTGAACTTTTAGTGCATCTATCCAATGTAGATAATAGTTCTTAAAATTGTGAGAGAATTTAGATCCGGTTTCTGATATTATATGCGTTTCAAATAAAAAGAAAATATCAAAAGTAATGATATAGTTAAAAAATCAATGAAATAGCAGTTTAGAGTTTAAATTCACTACATTGTATGATAATAAACTACAAACATTAACAATATAACTTGACAATGTTGATTGAAGTGAGTAGAGGGCTGATACTGCAGTTAGTTTTTTTGAGGCGTTGCAACTATATTATTTATGTGTGTCGGGAGATCTTCTACCGATTTGCCAAAGACTTCTCTTAGAACAGCTTTTCCATCTCGGTTACCACAGCGTAGTGCGCCTTCGGAGTCAAACTGCAAACGATGTTCGTTGATTATCAACTTGTTGTCGAAAACTTTAATTTTACACGCTTTTATATAAGTGGACAATGACCTCTTCAGAGTCAGCATAGCCTTTTTCTGCTTTTGCATGGAAGGACATAAATCCCTTCCAATGTAAACGGCCGAGCAAGC